GCCATTCTCACAGTGGGTGAGGATTCTCAGTTGAATTCTAGCTATATTAATCAGAAAGAGACTTATTTTATTATTATTTTTATTTTTGGCACCAGGGATTGAACTCAGGGGCACTTGACCATTGAGCCACATCTCCAGCCCTATTCTGTATTTATTTAGTGACAGGGACTCACTCAGTTGCTTAGAGCCTTGCTTTTGTTGAGTCTAGCATTGAATTCCTGATCCTCCTGAGCCACTGGGATTACAGGCATGCATCACTGCACCTGGCCAGAAAGAGGTTTATTAAGGTCTATGGGCAACTCAGATATTGGTTGGGATTGCAGAAGAAATAATTCCAACAAAGTTCTATGAACCAACCCTGGCTTCATCCCAGAACTCCTTGCCCAAATCAGGAAACCGCATCACAAAAGTATGCCACAGTCCTTGTCCTCAGAACCACTAGCCAGACCAGGCCACTGCCATGTAGAACAGTAGAACATATGCTCTGTGCTCACCCTCTATCTCCACATAACTAATCTCCAGAGCAAAGTTTCATTTAGGATCAAGGGAACCTGAATAGCTTGTTATTTTGTGTCTTGAAAAGTATGTTTTACCATATGGAAAACTAGCAAAATGTGCAGAGACTTCTCAATTAAAAAATAAAAATAAAGAGAAAACAAAAAGATGTTTAATGCAGAATTCGTTTTATAATCCCCAAACTTGAAAGTTTAAGACTTTATTCCAGAAAGAGCTAGTGGCCTTGAAAGCAAAGACTTAAGCTAGCATATGTCTTCAAAGGTTCTAGCAAATTTGTTTGAAATTTTGGTTAAGACAATGCTTTCTGTTTCCCTCTGCTATTTAGAGAAAGGTGCGGGGGGTGGGGGGAGAATAGAATAGAATAGAATTTTAATTCCTCAGTGTTCTTCCCATTCCAATAAAATGAAAACTCACTTCTGAAATGGCAAATCAGACTTGCCTTAGTACCACTTTATCATACCTGCTTTTATTGATTTATTTTACATAAAAAGTATGGAGATGTACAATTCTGTGTCCCTTTCTACTGTTCTGAAAATATTAGTTTCTGATCAAGTTTTTTTTTTCCAAACAGGAAATGGTCTTTTCTAGTAAAAGAAGGATCCTTATCAAAATATTACTGGAAATTAGGTACTTGACTTAATTAAACATTAAGAACAAATGAAAAATAAAAACCAAAGTTTTTCAATTTCCAGAAAGAGTACAAATCTAAGAAATGAAAAGGAAAACGGGTTTTCAGAATTTTGGATGGAACTGTGCAAGGGAATTAGCATCAAAATCTTGGGGAAACGAGAAGGGATTGGATTTTGGAGTAATTTTATTATAAAATTATTTGAAACCAGGACGATGACAGTCCAACTGGAGCCACTGAAAATATTTCCTATACCCCCAAATCACGGTGTAGACAATCTACTTTCTGTGGCAGAAATAAGCACAGTCCTCTTTGATGCAAATCTAGGCCACATTTCCTTGTACCTTTGAATATAGGTGGACTCAGGTGACAAGTTTTCCCCAATAGGCTGGTATTGCTCATGATCCAATTTTAGACCCAAGTAGTTAAGAAGTTAAGTAACTTGTCTGAGTTTCTTTCTCTACATTCTCTTTTGTCAATTTCCTGGATGGAGAGAGTGTGGCAATAGTCTTAAAAAATGGCTATTAGAAGAAATGTAAATTAAAACTATACTGAGATTTCATCTCTCTCCAGCCAGAATGGCAATTATAGAGAATACAAGTAACAATAATTGTTGGTGAGGATGTGGGGAAAAAGACACACTCGTATTTTGTTAGTGGGATTGCAAATTGGAGCAATCACTTTGGAAAGCAATATGGAGATTTCTCAAAAAACAAGGACTGAAACCACAATTTGACCTAGTTATTCCACTCTTCAGTATATATCCAAAGGACTTAAAATCAGCATATTACTGTGACACAGGTACATCAATATTCACAGCAGCAAAATTCACAATAGCTAAGCTATGGAGCTAACCTAGGCACCCTTCAACAAATGGATGGATAAAAAAATCATGGTACATATACACAATGGAGTATTACTCAGCCATAAAGAAGAATGACTTCATGACATTTTCCAGTAAATGGATGGATCTGGAAACTATCCTGCTAAATGAAATAAGCAAATTCAAAAAAAAAAAAGGCAAATGTTTTCTCTGATGTGTGGAAGCTAATCCACAACAAGGAAAAGAGGAGAATAGAAGTTCAGTAAATTAGACAAAGGGGTATGAAGGGAAGGGAGGGAGAGTAGGAACAAGAAAGACTGTGACATGAATCTGACATAACTTTCCCATGTTCATATAGAAATAGACCACAGTGAATCTCACCATTTTGTATATCCACAAGACTGGGGTCTTAATTAGAATAAGCTATATTCCTATATAATTATTGTATAATTACATCAAAATGGACTCTACTGTCACATGTAACTAAAAAGAAGCAATAAAAAAATAAAGAATAACTATTAGGATAGAAAAGATCTGTATTCCTGAAAGACTACATGAAGTAGAGTCCCTGCTGACTCACACTGGATTGTGAAATAAGCTACAAAGAAATTAGTATCTTAAACTGATAGTATTTTTTTAAAAAAATTGTTAACTTACCCTGACTGACACACTTCTGTGAACATAGGATGCTTCAGGAGAAAACAGTTTTAACGTAAAATTTGATCCACCTATTAAAGTCTCCACAACTCATATTTGTGCAAAAGTTCCCTACAAACTCTAAAGCATTTTGCAAATATATTTTAGCAGAATTAACAGAAATATTAATAACTACACAGAATTCAACGGTCCAATTGTTTTTGTTCTTTGGAATAAAAGTTGGAAAGAAATGAAGGGTCAAGGAAAAATATCCTCTTAAATTGTAATTACTTGAGAGCAGTCCATGTTGCAGGATCACAGAAGTTTGGCATTCAACTACTCTAAATGCCACAGTTTTAAGAAAAAAATCTGAATTTATAAGAAAATGTAAAATTCATAAGACACAATTTAAAAGAAATAACAAGCCTACATCTCGACCTTGCCTTGTTTCTGTTTTTCCTTTTCCTTAATGCACTTTTATTTAATTTGGCTTAGCTATTTTAAAGATCTCATATTACTTTAGTCAGAAGCAGTGTTTTAGAATTCAGCTGGGTCACAGGAACTTTCTCACCACTCCATTCTAATTTGCAGTTTTGCTATAATAAAAGCCCTAAATATATTGCTACTGTCTAGACGTTTTATCTGAAACAAGTGTCCTTTGTAGTCTCAGAGGACTTTTCTATTTTATTTCCAGTAAATCAAAGTCTGTGAAGAGCTTCAGCTCTTATTAAGACATACCCTTCACAGTCCAGTGCCTGCCAACTGTGGTGAGCCATTGACAGTTCATTTACATATAAGTGATGGCTTCCATCAGGTAGTTGGCTCCCAACACAATGGACATTCAGAGCATATCCAATATTTCTTGTTCTTTGATGAGCACCAAGTGCCAATTTTTATATAGAAACTGACTACTGAAAAGTGAAGCCTTCTTCCCCCTGACCTTACACTGTCTTCCCCACCTCTAGAGGGACATTGTCACTGAACTTAATGGAGAATCACATCTCTCACAGACATTCAGCAGGAGCCCTATTTGACTCTGCTAAGAATCCGGAACAGTTAAATGTAGAAATGTAGGAAACATGAAACAAAAGTGATCAGATTGAAAAAAATATGTGTGTGTGTGTGTGTGTGTGTGTGTGTGTGTATACACACACAATTAAGGAAAAACAAACTTCTAGATCCTGCCCCAAATGCCTTCATTGCAAGTTAATCTTTATATTTTATTTTTATCAAGTACTTTTTATATTACTTTGTGTTAATTACATCTTATAACTACACTTACCATTTGGAACAGCAATTGAACAACACCCACTGAGAAATCCTGTACTGAAGTTGGTAAGTATCTTACATTATAACTGCAAGCTTTTGTTACCATTTTCATAGAACAGAGGTCATAAAAATCTAGCCAAATTTTTACCACGGTGATGCCATAAAACACATCAAACTGATGATCTGTGACCATACTGATATTCAAATTGTATATGATTTTCCCTCATTTTCTTCTTAATTGTGCCATTTCCACCTTTTTCAGCATACAATTAAAGAAAAAAAAAACTTTTTAAAGTGAAATTCTCGGTTATCAATAAGGAGAATATATACAATTTAATTTCATAGAAAAACCAAGCTTAAACTAGTATTCACTGCTTTCTTTCCCTACCAAATGTTTTATTCTAAAATTTTCTTGCTAGACTTCATCATTTGTCTTTAGCCCATCTTGGTTTGGTTTGGGTGAACTCTTAACATTTATATAATTCTTATAATTGACTTTCTAAAGATTAGTGTCAGTAACTTTCATATGTATTCTTACAGTAAACTCCAGCATGAAAGCAGCCTGAAAGAGCTGTCTGTTTAAAACCAATGAATTTATCATAAAAGTAACAGATCAAGGATAAGTACTTTGAAAAAAATAGAACACCTGTCATGCAGTTCCCGTCTCCATTCACACCTTGTCTCTATGCTGTGCAGAGATTCTATACCTTCAACTATCGTTCTTTTCTTCTTTCTTTAATTCATTCATAAATAGAGGGTGGAGGATAAATGGATGGATGGATAAAATTAATTCCAATATTTTTAAGGAATTGGTGTTAGCCATTATGCGTCAAGTTTTTCTAGACCCAAGGCAAGTAAACTCAGAAGGCAAGATAGATTGATAGAGTGTCCCTTCAGAATAAGAAATGAGTAAAGGAATATAATATTCTGGCCATGCTAAAAATTACTATAGCTTCAAACCCATTTTTCAGAAGCAAATTCAAAAAACTTAAGTGATGCTAGGTTTGCTAAAAAACAAACCCTTTGATATATATTTTAGTAAAACAATACCCTATTATCATTTTAAAGAATAAAAAAGATGAATCTAACAGCATTTAATATCAGAATCATGAGTTTTTAAAATAATTCTAAAGTTTCTTCCGAGCCTTTATTGTTAATAGAACAAAACAAATTTCAGTCTGATGAAAGCAGTACTTGACACTATGTAGTTTCATTTTATCATGATGTTTATGAAGAAGATAAAATAAGCAGTGTTCAGGCAAAGATATTTAGAAATTACAGACTAACTCATCAAAGTCCTTCTTTGCATGTACAAAAATGCTTGTTTTTTTTTTTTCCTGTTGATGCCAAATTCATCCATGGCCACTGTAAACCTTCTTTTTGGATAGACAGATTGAACCATTATAAGCAACAGCACTGGATTGCTTCTCAACCTTATTAAACTTCTCGTGATTCAAAATATGCTCTCATTTTCCTTTCTCTTATCGATCTGGCCACCAATTTTCCAACAATCTGGATGTTAGCTCTTCTGAGTATTGGATGTCGATTCACTATAATACAAAAAAATAATAACTACATTAATAAATGCTCCATGAATATAAAAGAAATTTACTATGCTTCGGAAATACTAGAATGTTATAGAAAATTAATTATGGTTGTGCTAGAACATGCTGAAAATTTGACATGGGCACATTTCCATCAGTCTTTTTGTATTACCTATAGATCATGCCAAGAGACTTGGGAAATGCTATGGTTAGACCAGAGCTGAGGGAGGGGAGAGCAGGAACAGAGTTCTACCAGTGTACAGAATACTTGAAATAAGTTAGATGTATCATGTTTTGTTATAAAAATTATACCAGTTCTGATACTGATATTTGAATCAACATAAACCACTAATTGTATAGATTGCTTATATTTGGTCCATTCTTATCTATAAAAATGACACTCCAAATAAGCAATGAAAGTCTTATGTTTACCATTGCTACCATTATGCACAGCAATAATTTTTAGACAGGGTAGTATATCTTCACTGTTCAGGTCCTATAGTTGTTATTAAATAAAAACATAGCCAACTGCCCCAAAACAGTTAAGGTTGGGCGAAGAATCCACCTTAATAAAAGGGCATGAATGACTTGATGGGTTATAAGGCGAGGACATTATTGCCATATTTATACCTGCAGAGTTCTTAGAGGAAGAGCAAGGCCTTATAACAATACAACTAACTTAGGTCACATTAACAAAGGACTTGCACAGGCATCACTCCAAAAAAAGACATACCGATGACTACCAGGCATATGAAAAATTACTCAGCATCATTAATCATCAAGGAAATGCAACTTAAAATCACTATGAAATGTCACATCACATCTGTAAGAATGGCTGTTATCAAAAAGTTCATAGAGATAAGTGTTGGCAAGGGTGTGGAGAGAAGGACAAACTTGGATACTGCTGGTGGGAAGGTAGACTGCGCGGCCCTTATGGTAAACAGTGAGGAGGTTGCTACAAAAGTCAAAAGTAGAGCTACCCTGCAACCCAGCAAGCCCTCCTCCAAGCTAGACACTCAAAGAAATTGAACTCAACTCCTCATGAAAATTTGTGCTCCCATGTTTACCACAGCATTATTTGCAAACTGCTGAGATGTGAAAATAAAACTAAGTACTGAGTTAATGCATGGATGGATAAAGAAACGTGGGCTATTACTACAAAAGGAGATCCTACTTACCACAACATAACACTATGTAAATAAGGCAGAAACTGGAAGACATTATACTATGTGAAATAAGCCAGGTGCAGAAAGGAAAGCCTGCATGATCTTACCTATGCTATGGAATTTTAGAAAAGGTTTAAGTACACAGAGGTAGATAGAGAACTAAATGGTGGTTACTAGGGGTGTCAGGCATAGGAAATGGGGAACTATAGCTCAGTGGTTACAAATTGCAAAACTGAAGGAAGGACAACTGTGCAGATATACTTTGAAAAAAAGTAGATGATGAATGTGTGCTTCACTATAATAATCCTTTTACCACCTGTATCTCATAATATCACATATTCCATTAAATATTCACACTAGTATTTATTTTTAAAAATAAATTAGCTCATATTAAGAGAGCTTATAAAATAATCAGTTCAGTAATTATTCCTATTATGATAATTGGAAAGGCAACCACCAATTCAGGTCCTATCTAGTTGTTACACTAGATAAGCAGGTTAGATTTTTATTTTTATTTTTTGGTACCAGGGATTATACTCATGGGCACTCTATCCTTGACCATATTTCTTCGTATTTTATTTAGAGACAGGGTCTCACTGAGTTGTTTAGCACCTTGCTATTGCTAAGGCTGGCTTTGAACTCGCCTTCCTCCTGTCTCAGCCTCCTGAGCCACTGAGATTACAGGCATGTGCCAAGGAGCATAGCAGCAGGTTAGATCTTGAGATGAGATCTTAGTATAGAATATTTTCCTATTGTGAATTTTTCTGAAAATATGCAGTGCTAAGAATATTTAATCAGGCAGAAGAGAGCTAAAATTCAGGATTACTCAATGTAGTTACAACAGAAACATAAATATAATGATCCACATTCTTATTCTTACACATTTGTAAATGAATCTAGGTTTAGTACACAATCTCAAGTTTCCTTATTGTTGAAATGAGCATAGTATCTATCTTGTGCAGTTTTTGAAGGAATTAAAAAATATCCATCAAAAGATACATGAACAATAATACTTTATGGTCTTCTCAACGGCCTACAAATGTGGCATACTAATTCAAGGTATTAAAAATAGGGGAACCTTGGAGGTATATGATAAACACTGTACTTTAGACTCAATATTTCTGTAAACCAATATTTCTAGAAAACCAAAATCACCATCATCATCATCATCATCATCACCATCATCATCATCATCATCTATGAATTTAAAAGATGTATCTAAGGCTTTGTAAATATTAAAAATATAGTAGTAGTATTATCTATATTATGACATTATAATAGAGGGTTTTCAAATTTCACTAAACAATTGTTTAATCTGTTGTTTCATAAATTTTTAAGTTCAGTAAAAGACCACTTCATCTTTGGAAAAATACAAATGCAAGTTCAAATGATCTTTCAAAGTAAATATTCTTGACCTTCATTTCTGTCATATGGCAGAATAGATTCAAAAAACAATCCTTTTGATTAAGTCCAATCCTGAATAAAATATTAGATGTGCTTTAACTTCATTGCTGAACTGGAGGGGAGGAAAGAAAACACAGAGGCCAAAAACAAAGTGAAATCAGTCACCTTAGTAGATATTTCAGTGTCAAAGCCATTGTTTTTTTTTTTAAGTCCAAGGTTCTCTGTTAAGCCCTGGATGTCTGAGCTGCAGTCTTGGGAGGGGAGCAGGGACAGGAGATAAAACCTGGGTTCCCCCAAAGGGGGAGTCTAGCATGAGACCCACACCGAGGGCTAGAGAAGGAAGGAGGAAGGAAAGAAGGCAGGAAAGGTTGGAGGATGGCCTGTGGGAGAAAGAGTGGGAGGGAAGAAAGCAGGGGAAAAAAGAAAAAGAAAAAACTTCAATGAAGGGGACAGCAAGAAAAGCCTGTTTCCATGAGGCTGGGCAGAGGCACCATGACTCCAAAATTGGCCCATGGTTTGGTGTTCCAATTCATGTCACTTGTGTGGTCCAAAAAATACTTCCAATCTAAAGTTTGTTGGTCCCCAAGAACAAATGAAAAACCCCTTAAAAGAAAAGCAATTTCAACTAAGACCTTTAAAATATATCACAGAAGTGTATTTTATTAAAACCCAGTGTGTTACAGTGTGCTTTTAAATGGAAAAGCAGGTTACCAAATAGTATCTACAATGGGATCCCAGTTTGTAAAAAGTTATATGCCCAGCAAAACATGTAAAATATTAATATCAAAATATTAGTAGTGACTGGAATTATAATTTAGCTTCAGATATTCCTCCTTATTCTTATTTTCAGCAGAAAATATTATTTATGTGAAAAATAACAACATTAAGGGATTTTCAACTTTTTAGATTGGAATATGTGGTAGAAAGTGATTTTAATAGTAGATGGTTAAAAAACAATTAAATATTTTGGTTTACAATTCAATTATTTAAAGAAATGGTTTGGAGGGTATGGGGACAGAAAAGATGGTGGAATGAGATGGACATCATTACCCTAGATATATGTAAGACTGCACATAGGGTGCAATGCTACATCGCCAACAGGCAGATAAATGAAAAGTTGTGCTGCAATTGTGTACAATGAATCAAAATGCATTTTGCTGTAATATATACCTCCTTAAAATAAATTTAAAAAAGAAATGGATTGAACTTTTTTTTGAAAATGTTCAAATGAAATAGATAACATGCTGATCTGCATTACATATATCATATTCTAAGAAATGTGATTTTTTTCCTCAAAGATTTGAAAAGCAATTTGCTGTTTTCTTTTAAACTAGATACAAATTTTCATATCCACCATTTTATTTTATTATTTAGCATGCAAATTTGCCTGTCTACTCAAGGTTGTACATTGTTCTACACTACTGACTACTTCTTGTGAATACTTCAAAATGAATCTTTGTAAAGCAACATGGAAAGAAAACAATCAGAGATTGTGTAAATGCAAGTGTAGGTCATGGAGTATTTGTTGAGTCTAGATGCATGCTAAGGTCTCAGCTGAGACCTTTCTGGGTCACCACTTCTTAATACAGAAACAACAAATAAAACAGCAAAAACTCACAATAATTGTGTTTTCATAGTGATTTAATCTTAAAATACAAGAAAGCACTACCTGGCCTGGGGTTGTGGCTCAGTGGTAGAACACTTGCCTGGCATGTGTGAGGCATTGGGTTGGATCCTCAGCACCACATAAAAATAAATAAATAAATAGAAATAAAGGTAAAAAAAGATAAAGCACTACCTAACATGGTATCGTGGTCCTGACATGGTCATAGTCAATACAAAGCTAACTCCAGTTCTAAATGACAAATGAGAGTAAACAAATAGTTACAATTGATTTTCATACAGAGCAAGGTCCAAGCTTGAACCTAACTTTTGCTTACTTTAGAATTTCAGAAAGGGATATGTCCAGAACAATGAAAGAATAAATCCTTGAGGGATCCCTTTGCAAAAGACCAAGAATCCTTTTGTGGGGATGGGGGCAGAGTGGAGCTGCAAGATTCTGGAAGATCCTGGGGTGTATTACTTTGAGAGGAAGGTCCCAAGTGAATAAATAGAAATATCTAAAACATTATTCTCCCACACAAGGTCCTGGGAATGCTGAGAGCACAGGACATCAGGGTCTGGATTAAAAAAAAAAAAAAAAACCTGTGGTACAAAGGACAGGAAAGGGGCTTCTCCTCTCAGCAGGTTGTCTTAGATCCATGTGTCTTCACCACAGAAGAGTCTAGACAGATGCTGGAACAGAAACAGCAAAACACTTTCACTAGGGTTCCCCAGCTTCAGAGTAACAGCAGCGGACACCTCAAGAGGGCAGGGGAGGGTGTGGTGTGGTGTGGGGCTGGAATTGTGGAATTCTATGCTGCAACCAAAAGTGAT